CATGCTGCCCATGTTGATTTCTCTCAGTTAAGAAAACTAATCATATAAAAATTTTTTGTTAATTAATCCACAATATTGTGAAACTTGCCAAAGCACAGCAGATAGCATATTTGCACATAAGTAATACACATACCATTGTTGATTCAGGATACTTTTTGCAATAATTGATATGATCCTTTTCCCTTCAGTGTTATGACACCAACCCTTTATGAGAGAAACCCAGATTGGAAAATGTTCACCAGCCTAATCTAAACTGTATTAGTTTGAGAAAGTAAACACCTTTATCTATTAACAAACTAAAATCTAATTATTCATTTTTTAATTTTTAATAACAACATTTACAAATATAAATGTGTAACCTCTTTAAAGATAGTAATTCCTCTCTTTTCTAGTTGCATGGTCTAGGATGTGAAATACAATAAACCACTTAAAAATAGCCCCACTTACTAATTTAAATCTAAATAATGCAATTGAATATAAAACTTTAAAATTCTTAACCCTCAGTGAGAGTTGCACAATTTTTTTTTTTTTTTTTTTTTGGCAGCTGATCAGTAAGAGTTGCACAATTTTTACAAGAATTACGAATTTCTTTTTAACATTGATAAGCCTTCAGAAAGAGGGTGGATTGTAGAATATAAATAATTGTAAAATATATATTGCATACTAGTATGTGTGAAGCATTATACAAAATAATGTACAAATATTAATAACAAGATAAATGCTTATGTCTCCAAGGACCTCAAATTGAGTGGAGGTGATTGCACATTAAAAATATAGCAGATTAAGACAACACAAGACCAATCTTATGCAGTCATAGGTGGACTATTGTAACAAGTGAAAAGAAAGTATAAGCAAACACTGCAGCAGGCTGAGGAAGTGATGACTTTCATGTAGGGATGTTGAAGATAAAAAAGAAAGGAAAATAAGTGACATTTGAAGGTTTTGAGGTGTTGAAGAAAAGCCTGATATTCACCGGGACTGTTTTAACATAAACATGAAGCTTCAATGTACAGACATGTTCAAAAAATGATGAAAATAAAATGATGGGTGTTCAGCAGTATCTGGGAGAAATGAGGGTCCAAAGTTAGTTTGAAGTTAGATTTTATGTCAGAATGATAAGGTTTTTGTTTTGTTCTTGGGGTTGTTTGTTGTTATTGTTTACTTTTTCTAAGCATAAATACACATATAATAATCTACAATCCTATACTTCTTTAGAATTACATAAAGTAAAAATGAGTTTCTTTCCTTTGCCAGATAGTTTCTGTCTTGCTTAGATAGGCTTTAGGCAATAACATTTTCTTCAGATTACTGTAAACTCCGCCTCCATTACTAAAAATATTTCTTTTTATCTTGGAATTTTAAATTTTCGCTTTCCTGAATAATACCTGCAATTGAGATATTTGAAAATGTAAGGTACAGAGGAAAATATAGGCTGACTAAAATAAAATTTTAATGTGAATTTTACAGATAGGGTTGTAATTTGGTGAAAGTGACATAGAAAGCCTTTCTAGAATTGTATAGGTGAAGGAAGGTGCCTGTGTAGAATAATAATAAAATAGGATGGTGACCTAATTCCTAGACTAAACCATAGAGAAAATGTAGACCAAGGTTATACTATTCAGGATTGTTGATAAATGGTGACTAATTAGAGCATCAAAATTTATGAGTAAATAAATAAGCTATATCAAGAAACCAATGAAAATATTTTTCCTGTTTAACTTATCAGAACCGAGATATTCATACAGCTTGCTCCCTTATTTCATGAAGACCTTGTACAAATACATCCTCTGAAGAAGGCTTCACGGCCTATTCTACTTAAAATTGCAGAATATAAGTTTAGAATAGAATAGAGTTCTAGAAAATAGAGAAAAAAAATCAAAATTTAGAAAAATCAACACTACATACATTTAAAATAATTTTTCTGACACCATAAATGAATAATTGCATATATTCTGCTTTGATAAAAATCATTAGAAAGATCAGATGTTTTACTAAGGGCTACAGAATTAGATGTATTAATCATCACTTGAGATCAGTATGTATGCCAGAATAATTAGTAAAGCAACCTTTTTGGGAGAGAGGCAGTATAATATAGTTTGAAGTAATCAAGGTATTGTAGAGCTCTTTTTGGTTAGATCATTATTAGTTCTTCAAATCTTGTTTTCAATTTGAATTAAATTAATCAATTTGATTTACGTCTATTCTGAACTTAATGCATATTTTGGAGAAATACTCTAAATTAATTAATTATTTACAATCTCCTTTGTAATATATAGTGATAGGGTAAAGGATTTTAGGTGATCATTCATGACAATATTTTATATATGTTAGCAAATTATAGCATAGCACCATTCAAGCAAATATGAAGAATGACTAAGTAATTATATTTCACATTGAGAGAAACTGAATTGCATAGAGATTAATGGATTAATGGAGATCACTGATATTGTCATGGATGGACGTTGGAATAAAATAATTTTTGTTTTAGTTCTATAAATAGGAGATAGGATATTTCTTGCATAAAAGTATATGTAATTTCTGTCAATAAAATCAATGCTGTTTGTGTTTTCTGTATTAAGCCCTAGAACAGATATAAATACATCCATGTATATAAGTATAACAAGAAAAGGGAAGCATTTTGATAAAATATTTTATTATTAATAATAATAATATAATCATGGTTATAAAAATAACAACTTTATTAACTACAGAAACTTTATAATACAAGTCATAACCACAGTGTTCCCTTTTTTGGGGTAAGCATCCAGCTATACCACTCAATAGGCAGCTTATCAATTTCCTATTTACACATAATACAAACAGTCATAACATCCACAGTATTCCATTTTCAGTTTCCTAAGGACAGAAACTTCCTGTACAAATAGAAATGAACCTACTTGAAAGTCATACTGTCAAGATTTATATGGTCCAGAAAATTTTAACTTTATTTTTGTATTACTAAATTTTTAGTTGTAAACTCAGTTGAATGTTGAAATGAAACTTACTCTTGGACTTTATAGTGAAAAGTAATTTATTTAAAAATTTTTATATAAAAAGACAATGATTATGTCTTTTTACTCTAATTTTACTTTTCAAATGAGTTTGTATATAAATATGAGATATAATTAATTGAAAGTAGTTGTTTTGAACCTCAGTAAATCAATTTAAGGCATTTTAGTATGAAAGCTTATTTACATTCTTTACCTCATAATGTCTATATTGCAAAACCAGTACTTCTTTTAAAAAAATGTTTAGAAACAAAAAAACAATGCCTGACAGCAATTTCTCACTTCTTGACAGTGTTCTTTTTGAGAAATGTTGTGGCTATAACATTCACTTTGTATAGTACCATTGGTACCAACAAGAAATATTCACAGGAATAAATGAAATATAATTTTGCTATAACATGCCATTATTGTTATTTTTCTTGCCATCCAATGTCTCACGTTCCCCATAGTCTGAAACAGTTAGATAGCAAGCAAGAGCCTGTTAATACTATAGATTGACTCAATATAACCATTTGACTGAGGACCCGCCCACAGCAAACAGATAAAAATCATTACACATTTTACAATAAAATTAAAGAAGTATACAAAAGGATTATCATCCCTTCTGCACAGCAGAGGCATTATGACAAATATTTTAATTTTACATTTCTATTCCTTGTAGACATAAAAAAATGTCTACAGTTATAACAGCATATAACCATTACTCAAACAGCCAAAACAAAAATAGCATTGAAAACTTCTAATTTAAACGGTCCTTTTGCCCATGACACAAAATAAAATGAATTTTTTTATAAATCAGACTTTTTATTTCTTTTTGTATTTTATTCAGAAAAGAATACCCAGTAAATAGTATCTTTTACCAGAGAATAGTGACATAATTATGCCCTGTCCTACTGTGCAAAATAATGTGAATCTTGTTTATCTTGCTTTCAGTGTCCATTCGACCCATTTCCCTCTATCACAAAGGAAACCTACCAAAGAGAAAATTGCATTATACACTATATTTGATGAGTTATTGGTAGTGTTGTTTATACCCATTAATGAAATGGAGAACACTGAGTTCTAAAAAATCTGAGTTAGCTGCATCTTTTATGTAGGTAATCCCTATCTCTCCTTCCATGAAAATTTAGAGGAAAAAACATGAGAGAAGTATTTTTTAAATATGAGTATTTAAAAGTATTACAATTTTTACAAAAGTTTTACAAATATCATTAATTTTTGATGATCAGTAAAAGTTGACTGGTTCAGCAAGAAGAAACTATGAAAAACATTTTAATATTTTGGCAATATGCCCTTGAAATTTCTATGTGTTTTTATTAAAACAGTGTATTACATAAGGGAGAGAGAAGTGTAATTAGATAAGATGATGTGGACTGGCAACTAGTTGGATCTCTCTTTACTTCCACTTTAAATTTCTTGATGCCAGCCCATATCTTATTACCAAAGAAAAAAAAAAGTATAGTTTGTATAAGCCATTTCTGGATTTGCTTCCCTATACTCTGTGGACTAAGCTCTCTAGTAAATCCAACCCCGTTTTATTCCAGATTGAAAAGTATCCTGGAGAGCTTTTAGGGCATTGTTTGGAGACTTGGCCTTAATAAAGACCATTCAAGAGAACCAAGTAGTAGAAATGGGCATACTGTACTCAAAACATTCAAGTATTTATTTTTAAAGGTTTTTTTATAGGAAGATTTTGTGAAAATTCGTAGCCTATCCTATTACTCTTTCTTATCCCACTTCTCAAAAAAAAAATACATGATATTTAGCTAAGCATGACAAATACAAATTGAATATGATAATTTGTCTCTTATCATACAAAATACAAAATTTAAATGAATATTTCCCATGGCATTAGGAAAGATCTTTGTAAAGTGAAATAAGAAAAAGTGAAGATATTTTGTTAAAATAACTGATTCGGTAGATTCAACTCTACTTTTGAAAAATAAATGAATATAGAGTTTAGACAAATTAGTTCCTTTCCTTTCCTTTTACATTTTTTCATTTGCTTGAAAAAAGATTTATTAGGCTAAACGACTTTCAGGCTGAGAAACGTATTTTCATTTTTTTTCCTCCAATGTATACTTTCATACATGATTTGATGAAGGGCTACTTACAAAACTTTGGAGACATACAGAAATTTTCTTCTTAAAATTTTTTTTTAAATTTAAAGAGAGTGAGCTAGAAGCCAATCACAGAAGCAAGTCTTGGAATTAACCTACTTAAATATATTTTTAATGACCAAAACACTTTTAAACTTCTTCAATTAGACACTTCTCTGAGAATTTAAAAAAAAAATGTTTTAGGAAAATGAATCTATAAACATCTTGCATAAATAAATTTGGAGAAAAGAATTAATGCAAATAAACATATTACTCTCTTTCCTTTAAGAATTAGAAACTCCATGAAACAACTAGGATAATTAAATTCATGTCAACACCTAGATTAGGCATTATTTAACTCTGTGGGTCATGACCACACCTGAAATGCCAACCAGTGGAGGTCATTTGCAGATTAGGTACAGAGGATGAGCTAGTCATTTCTATCATGACCTTTCCTTAATATTTGTACTGGTCTTTAGAAATTTATATTTTTTTCTCGAGAAAAAACTATAGGTACATACTTTTAAAATATTTAGGTGTTATATTAGATACACCACGATTTAAACTGTAAGCATGCACATATGCACCCAGGCATGTGTACACGGCTATGTGTTTTTACATGTCTGTTTGTATACCAGTATGGCAGGATACACAGTGGAGAAAAAAGAATAAACTATAACTTATGGCATTTGAAAGGTAATATAATTTAATATAGAGTTACAATTTAAGGACACAGGGTGTAAATTGTTTTGGTGAGGTTAAAATAACATCTAACTTATGGTTTATTCATTGTTAAGAAACTAACCTTGGAAAGCAGCGTAGAGAGATTAATTGGTCTTCATTAAACTTTTTATCATCCAGCAATTACACCTTGCATTTTTTAATCCATTCAAGTATCTTCAGGAGATATGTTACTATACTTACATGTACCTTAATTCACTTCAACATTTACAAAATAATACTGACAAAACAGAACAACAGAAAACACCCATAAATATTAATGAGTATCTTAACAAACATGACACTCAAGTAATTGTCTTAGGATTGTTTTAAGTAATATTTTAATTCCATGTTCTCTGAAATCTTCATGTAAAAGAGAGATGTATTGATGGACGCTTCAGACACACTTACTTCAGCTATGACTGTGGTACCTTATATGTTAATATAATTTTGTGTATCCATTTTGCATAATATGCTACTCGGACAAAAATACCAGGACGATTTGGAATGGCACATCCACGACCAGGAACAATGACGCCAAGGACCATTCTCATTTTATGTTGTTCACAAACAAGTGGGCCACCATAATCCCCCTAGGAAGAACACATGCAAAAATAACAAAGTATTATTTTAGAAATAAAAAATAATAATTCGTTGACTTTACCCTATACAGATATGCATCTCAAAGGAACATATACTCAAAAAAAGGAATAACTGCAACTGAAATATAAAGACATAAAAATTGTGTACTAATTCATTGACTGTCTTTCTATTGAATTAGTCGAGTAAGACTGAGAAGAGTACAAAATTCAAAATGTTTTATCACGTGTAGTATTCACTTAGGAATGATTTGCCTTTTCCGCTGTTGGGCCATGTTGCGGCGCAATCAAATCATAAGGCGCCTGCCTAAGTATGGTTCCTGTTCCCTAAAATAGATCAAGCGGTGGCCATCTTGCTGGCGTAAGGCCTCCGCCGCCATTTCACGAGCGCTTTAATGCACGTAGCTAGAAGTCCTTCTTTTCCGGGGCCCAGTGACTAAGCAGTTTTTGCCCGCCCTGTCATCACCCCTCTTCATAACTTGTGGCTTCCCCTGATTGCATAATACCTTCGTATAGCAAACATTATACGAAGTTATACGACAGTTTTTTTTTTTAAAGGATGGACTAGAAAGAGATCCAGGGGGAAACCAGCAAGGTCTAGCAGCTGTGTGTTAACTCAAAATCAGGGGGCGAGGGGTGGCAAGAGTCAGTAAGTAAAGACATGTAGTTATTGTGAAAGTAGTAAAACATTGCCTCTGGGGGAAGACAGGAGGAGAAACAGCCATAAAAATGTAAAGGGTGCTGGAAATTTACTCAAATGCCAAAGGGAATCTGTGGAAGAATTTATTGGGTTCTCTGCATGAGAAATTTAAAGTTCAAGTACAGCATTTCTGAGCTTATTAACTGGTGTTCTAAATAAATAGGAGATGACTTTTTTGTTTTCTCTATAGACAAACAGAAGTATCACATATTCAAAAACAAACACAAACCCATACATAACAGAATGATATATTTATTATAGATTCAGATAGAGGTCTTTTTATTTGAACTCATTACATAAAATATAATTTCTATAGAAGGATGTGTAGTAGATGATTCACTAATATTATTTAAGAAACAAAATATAATTATTTCACTTAGAAGAATATTGTATATGTTTGCAAATCACCTACCATCATTGTAGAATAACCTATCCTACAACAAAATGCTTGTTAAAGCAAAAATTGCACCAGGCAAAGTTAAACAGAGGAGGAAGACTTTATTCAAGACTATTGCAATAGAAGAGAGAAAGCGGAACTCAGTTTGAGCTCAACTCCACTCAAACAAGGGGCTGAAGGGTTTTTAGGAGCTGTAGTAGGGGCAACAGCGAGAGGGGTGAAAGTGGATCATAGGCCACCTGTGTGTGCTAACTGGCCTTAGCCAAAAGAAAATTTTCTCATATGTTCATAATAGGAGGTAGTTTTAAAATGTGGAGCAAGATGCCCACCAAAATTAGGCTCCTACCCTCCCACAGAGGCTAGGGAAATCGGGGCACTATCTTCCTTGATGACTACATTTCAAAGGGATGGCTTGCAGGTCATCAGGAACAACATTCTTGGATTGTAAAACCAGCAAGAAGCTTTTTGAAAGATTTATATCTCAAATGGACAGAAAATGAATTTACAATTACAAGTTTTCTTGGGTATATGCTTTAAGAGAAGGGATGTCAGGGACCTAGAGTCAGGACGAAGGCTGTCTAGAACTTAGTTAAACTGAGGAGAATGTTTAAGCCATTTTGGTCATGCTACAAAACCACTTCACTTCATTTTTAAATGATGGTTTGATGTGTGTTGGGCCATGTTGCGGGCGCAATCAAATCATAAGGCGCCTGCCTAAGTATGGTTCCTGTTCCCTAAAATAGATCAAGCGGTGGCCATCTTGCTGGCGTAAGGCCTCCGCCGCCGTTTCACGAGCGCTTTAATGCACGTAGCTAGAAGTCCTTCTTTTCCGGGGCCCAGTGACTAAGCAGTTTTTGCCCGCCCTGTCATCACCCCTCTTCATAACTTGTGGCTTCCCCTGATTGGATAACCATCTCCTCCCGCCTCTCCTCTCTGTTTCCGCTTTCTTCCTCTATATAAACTCCAACACCTTTCTAATAAACGGAGTTCCGGCTTTGACCACTCTCCTGGCTCGGTGGTGTTCTTTCTCGGCCCCCGGGGAGGAAGGTCCTGGGGGGGAAGGGCCGTGCCAGCGACACTCATCATCCCGCTCAGCCCCACAAGGGACCCCTGGCTGGACCGGGGTCTCTTCCCGCTCGGTTTTGTCGGCCTCTGGCTCAGGGAGGCCCGACATTCCGCAATATTCACTCATACTTTAAAGGGTGCTTTGTCTTATGTTGAATGCAGGCTAACACATAACCATTGATATCTATTTAATAGAGGAGATTTTATATTTATTCTGATGTTAAATATATATTAAATATAGAAAATTTGGAAAATGTAGAAATATGCAAGTGAAAAAGAAACCCACTTGTAATCATATGGTTTTCATGATCAAACTGCATTAAATTTTCTCTCATTTCTAAAGGGTTGTTTTTTCCTTCCCTCAATCCTGCCCCAGGAGATCTTAACAAGTTAAGTTAAAAATTTATAGCTGACAAAAAACTGTAATTCTAGGTATTATTTGGAAATTGCTTTTCCAGACAAAGAACATTCTTCCACTCTCCATTGGTATTAATAGTTAATGTAGTTATATTTATATTTTATAAACTCCTTTCTGGAGGGTAGCCTATGATCTTATGGCATTTCTTATAATGGTAACCCTGTCATATAATCAATTATAGATGAAAAATAAATGGATAGACTGATTTGCATGTGTATGTATATATACACATATATTCATATTTGGTTACTATATACAATCATATATATGGTTACACATATTATTACATATAACTATTACAACTGTGCCGCATCACTTTCATGGAAATTGCAGTCTCCTAAGAATGCAATGACTAGCTTTTGGCATCCTTATATGAAGAGGAGTGTTTGGGACTATGTTAATTTTCCCCCAATAGCAATGTGGTAAGATAAAACGAAGGCACTGCAAATTTTAGTTCTGTGATACAGTTGGAAATAAGAGAGCCATGGGTATTCTGTGATGGGCAAAATCAAGGTAGGAGTGAAGTAGAAAATCAAACAGTAAGGAAAAAATAGTTTATTCTAGGAGAATGTAATCCATGCCACCTGAGGTAATAAAATTGATTTTTACACAAATGCACTGGTGATTACTGATATGCAATGCAAAGTTCTTCAAAGCAATTCACTTTGGAGACTTTCCTTAAATCTAATACTATTGCTACTATACAAACATTTTGGAGATTTTCAAATTTCTTTCAGTGGTTAAGTTACCTTGTTTTAAATATCACAGATATATATACTTCATGGAGGATAAATGCATTTTTTTTTTTTTTTTTTTTTTGTCTTTTGTCTTTTTCCGTGTCCGGCAA